TTATGAGCTTGTTTGAGCCGCATTTTTTCTTCAAGAATGCATTTTGGAATAGTAGATTGATGGAGAATGTGTGGTTGAAAAATAAGGAAAATTTTTGGGTTTGCGTGTAATATTATTTTATTGAAAAATGTGTTGTTGAAAAGAATGAAGACCAAACAAGGACTATATATTCTATCATTATTTCATAAGTTTTACGATATTTAACTGAAAACAATATTCATATTTGAATAAAACATTTTAAGAAATGAGAAAAAGAAAAGTAAAAACAAAAATAGTTAACTATTATGTTTCCAATTATATTATAAATACATAAAAAAATTCTTTTGATTCGAAGGGTAAAGTACACGACGTTTATTGGGCATGCCCGTAGTGATGATATCCGTGGACATCAATAAAGCTAGTTGTGCAAATATGGTTGACAACTATCTGTTGTCCCAATCCGAACATTTGAGGTAAAAAAATGTTTTTAACAATTCTTAAAATAGATGAATGTGATGCTGTCAAATAGGATGTTGTCAACAAATATTGTACAAGTAGCATGATTCGTGTGGATATATTCATGTGAGGGAGTCCGTCTAAACCAAATAATGAGCAAGTTTCATAAGCGATAGATCATAGATAAGAATTGAAGGGAGATATCTTCTAATATATTTCATATAGTTGAGAAAGTCTATTATACAAAACAATTTAACCTTGTAATGTACATGTAATTTTCAAGAAGAAAATACAAGTCAAACACAGGAGCTAGCCTCCATTCACCTCAAAAACTAAACATCAACACAAACACAAACACAGCTAAATCTTCATCACAAGTAGTAAACAATAAAACTTCTGCTTTTACCCCTCGTAGCACTTTGTCAAATTTGAAAGCAAAGGGGCAAATGGACAGGAAATTAGACTGCTAAATAGCAGATAATACATTATAGATCAAGGTTGATTCCTCCTCCATATTTATTTATTATGCGTGAAGGATTAGCCTCTTACTTTGGGCGTCGGTAGGAATACAGTATGTCATCGAGAGACTCTTTTATTTGATTCCCCACTTTGCGGACATTCTTGGCCACCCCATTTGCAACCAGGTTGGCATTTCGCATAAACCTGTATGTGAACAAAAAAAAAAAAA